GCTGAACAACGTTCAAAGCCTTTTGGAAATATTTGACTAGCCTCTTAATTGGATGCTATTTGCAGAAGTCAAAGCGACAGATCTGAGTCCATTTTATTTTTGTATTATCTTCGTTTTGGATGTATTTTGAGAATTATTTTTTGCTTTATCTGATATCCTTAAATATAAGGATAAATAGGTAGATCAGCCATGGTGTTGTTAGTTACAAAAGATAACCTGCTAATTCAGATTACACCAGTTCTGTCAGATATGAGATTCTTATTTTTCTGTCAAAATAGTTTTCCCTCTGTAAATTATTTATTTAATAATATAATTAATAATAAATTAAATGTTACATTTTTATTTTATTTTTATACAGAGACAATTTTTACTGTCAATTAGGAAGGCAGCAATAAACTTAAACAGATAAATGAACACTAAATACAAATAATAAATATAGAAAACACCCTTAATTTGTATAAAACAGTAATAAACAGTAGCATTTAAGTAAACATCAATTATTTATTTTTTTTAATTAAAAGGGAGAAATCCTGTTCAGGGACTTTACCTAAGAGTGAAATAGATATATTAAAGCAAGACACTACAGGAAAACAAAACAAAACATTGGTATCTGGTCAGGTTTGAGATTTTGGGCTATTTTGCTTCCATATCTAGTGAAAAGAAAAAAAAAGTGTTTTTTTTTTTTTCCTGCTGTTATCCAAATATTGAAAAATACCCTATGTAAAAAAACTTTAAAGGGATAGTTCACCCAAAAATAAGAATTCTGTCATTAATTACCCTCATGTCATTCCAAACCCGTAAGAGCTTCGTTCATCTTCGGAACACAAATTAAGATATTTTTTATTAAATCCGAGAGCTTTCTGACCCTCCATAGACAGCAAGGGTACTACCACGTTCAAAGCCCAGAAAGGTACCAAGAACATCGACAAAATAGTGCATGTGACATCAGTGGTTCAACCGCAATTTTATGAAGCTATGATAATACTTTTTGTGCACAAAAAACAAAAATAAATTTATTCAACAATTATTGTCTCCCGAGTTACCATCTACCGCCATTAGATGGTAACATCATCAAGAGTAACACAACGCATGCGCGTGCTTTCCTCTGCTCGTAAACAAGGCACAGCACATGCGTGTTCTACGACCGCAGCATCACGCGCATGCATCGTGTTACTCTCGTTAATGGCGGTAGATGGTACCTCGGGGGAGAAGAATTGTTAAATAAAGTCGTTATTTTTGTTTTCTTTGCGCACCAAACGTATTCTCGTAGCTTTGTAAAATTTTGGTTGAACCACTGATGTCACATGGACCAATTTAACGATGTTCTTACTACGTTTCTGTGCCTTGACCGTGGTAGTACCCTTGCTTGTCTATGGAGGGTCAGAAAGCTCTCGGATTTCATCAAAAATATCTTAATTTGTGTTCTGAAGAAGAACGAAGATCTTACGGGTTTGGAACAACATGAGCGGGAGTAATTAATGATAGAATTTTCATTTTTGGGTGAACTATCCCTTTACTGTGAAACAAAATTTTGAACTGGGCTTTATCCAATTCAGTTCTCTGTTCTCAAAATGTATGCAAATGTGTTAGATGATACCTCGTTTGCATATTTAAGCATAACACTTCAGAAAACTTGTAATATAAAACAACTGTCTTCATGTACTGTGGCTAATCGGTTGGGAAAACTATTAGTTAAAATTTAAAACCCTGTTAACCTATAGTGTCTTGCCTTAATTTTAATTAATTGTTAATGTCTTGGAAGATGTTTAGTATATACAAAGGAAAGATGATATGCCTCAGATTATATTATATATATATTATATATATTATATTAATATATTATATATATTATATGCTATTGATGTCTTTGTGTTGTGTTTTAGATCATGGGAGGAGTTGAGCCAACCTTGTACCGGGGTTCAGTTTGGTACACACCAGTCCTAGAAGAATGGTACTATCAAGTGGAAGTCTTGAAGATTGAAGTTGGAGCCCAAAATTTAAACCTAGACTGCAAAAAGGTATATGACACAGTCCAGCTCAGAAAGTATGCACTTTTGCATTTATTTTTGAATGAAACCAATTCAACCAGAAAATCTAGTGCATCCTTTTAGATAGTGATGGAGTTAAAAACACAATGGTTATTTGATCTTGTGAGGACATTAAAGAGTCGTGACTGGCGAGCTGAAATTGTACCTTTAAAGTCTGCCAGCGGAGTAACTCAAGCATTCAATAAGATATATGGCAGAGAATATCACTGCTAAGAATGTAGTGATTTTTAAGAAATCCTGAGAGAAGCAGAGCATGTATTGCTTTTTGTTTGATGGAGGCCTTGACTGATCTTTCTTTCCCTTTGGTCATTTTGTTCAGTACAATTCGGATAAAGCCATTGTGGATAGTGGGACGACTTTACTGCGACTTCCTGGAAATGTGTTTAGTGCTGTGGTGGAGGCCATTATGCAAACATCACTGGTATGACCTTCCATTTTTGCAAATGACTTGCCTCACATACACAATCATGTGCATGTTTAAGAGACTCAGTCTTCAAAATGACTCCTCAGTTACAATTGATTGTGTGCAACTCTGTTCTCTCCTGCTATGCTAGATTGAGGATTTCTCGGCTGGATTTTTTGATGGCACCAAGCTTGCATGTTGGATGAGAGGCGAATCACCATGGAGGCTTTTTCCGAAAATCTCAATCTACCTCAGAGCAATGAACACCAGCCAGTCCTTCCGCCTCACCATTCTCCCACAGGTCAGGACTTTCCCTAGTACACTTCATTTTGTACACAAGTGTCTCCCATACAGTGCTCTTGACTCTGAATTTCGTCACCAGAATAGTATGTGCGTACTGTACATGCACCACCTGATTTTTGTAGCCGTACTTTGCACGCACAGGTCGCACATGCGCATTGAATTGATTTTGCCCTATTCAGTTGTTCCACAAGGTGGCAACATTGGCCCGGGCCGTTGTTTCACAGAAGAAAACCAAACTAAAGAGTTGGAACAACAACAAAATACTGGAGACTTTAACAACAACAGACACCCACATTGACGATTGCTTGTGTGAGAAGGTTATGAGATAAACACAACTTTATTTTAAAAGAGTACAAAGATCATTTTATCAGTCATAACATCTGGAGAAGAATAGTGTAGACATAGTGTAGGAAACTTTCTAGAACGCATGTATAGGCCGCCTGCATATGTGCACGCTATCAAATGGAGTATAAGTGTTCGATTGTATGCATACACATAAAAAAAAAAAACGAAGTATACTTTCGACTTTAGTGAAACACTGAACTGCCATAGTTTAGTTTGGTAGTAGTTTATTGTTAACTTAAAACTTATTGAAAGATTTTTGTTAATTTTAATTAAATTTTTATTTATTTATTTTTTTTTTTTACAGTTAGTTGCCAAGGCAACATTTCTAATTTTCAGTTGTTTTTCAGTCTAATTTAAGTTGAAGTATTAAAATTACTAACTGGAAATAAAATAGTCGTCAGTCGTGGTATTGAGGGTGGAAGAGAGTGCTGGTTATTCACTCCCCCCACCTAAAATCCCTGCCGCTATTGAGACTCGAACCCGCAACCTTCAAGTTACAAGTCCGACTCTCTAACCATTAGGCCACGACTGCCCCCATATCAATTGTAGCTCACCATATTGCCCTCTATTGTACTGTACATGGGACCCTTTGGCTCTAAATTAATGATATACTTTGTGGTTTTTGATGTGATGTTACATAATTTCTTAAAATTACCAGAAACCAGGATTGTACATACTTGCTCCTCTGCTGACATCAGATTTTGTCTCCGCAGCTATACGTCCAGCCAGTCACCAATATCGATGGCACATTGGACTGTTTCCGTTTCGGAATCTCCCCTTCAGCAAACGGCTTAGTCATTGGAGCCACAGTAATGGAGGGCTTCTACGTCATCTTTGACCGCGCACAAAAGAGGGTGGGCTTTGCTGTTAGCGCTTGTGCAGGTAGGTGGGTTCAGATGTGTTTCAAAAGGCTTTATATCATTTGAAACTGCTACTGTACAGCAGCAGGGAAGATGCATGGGCATTAATCTGTGTTATTTGACCTAAAATAGCCTATTCCATACACATGGTGACAAACAAATAAGGACATTCCTTATTCAGTCATTTCAAAAGGCTTAAACAGCTTGACTTTTTACAGCAGATTTAGTTCACAAATAACTGAATCATGACCTAAATATGATTTTCATTTACAATAATCACTACTAAAATTCGGTATTAGTAACTTTTTGCACCATCAGTCACGCACGCATTTAAGCTCTGATGACATTCTGGTTCTTGGCCCTTTTTGATCGGATCATTGAATCAGTGAGTTGTTGACTCAAAATTAGCTGCAATCCGATCAGTCCGAGCCTGAATTAATCATTCAGAGTGATTTGTGAACCACTTCAACAGGTTCATTACAAATAATCGTTCTTGCATCTCCGAGGGAGTGGTGATTTCTTCTGTTCGAAATAACGAGGAACAATATGTTTGTTTGTTTTTTTAAACTTCGATACCATGCTTTGGAATGTAATGAAGGAGAAGTTTACCGAAATAAAAATACTAGATACCGAAATAAAAATAAAGTAGAGCTACTAGAAAAATGTACATAAGTACAGAAGCTGAGAATACCACCTGGCCAGTGGCCCTCATGTAATTTGAGTTTCAGAGGTCTAGGATCTAAGGGCACCTATCTTTTTGTTAACTTTTGTAAATACCTCTTCTGTCCTTCCAACAGAAAACGGTGGTGTGCCATTTGCAGAGATCGCTGGGCCCTTCCTAGCTGAGGGCGTAGCGTCAGACTGCACAAGTGGCGTGTCTCTTAGGGAGCCGGTGATGTGGGTGATCGCGTATGGTTTGATGGGCATATGTGCCTTGGTTCTGATCTTACTCCTCATCTTGCTCATACTGCCTTGCCGACGGTACAGATACGGAGAGATTACAGATGAGTCCTCGCTGGTACGGCATCGCATCAAGTGACGTCAGGCATCAATGGAAGATGAGGAGGCACCAACTCAGCAAATCAGGGCTGAAGGGAACTCAGAGCAGGTAACGGGGGTGAACACACCGCACTGAGCTCTGGTGCGATTTCTGCCAGATCCCATTTATTCCGGTTTGTCTTGGTGGAAGATGTTGGGATTTGGACATTTGTTGACACTTGTGGACATTTATGGTTGACTGAACTTGAAGAGAATAAAACTACTGAAGAATTAAGGAATCATGATTATACATGCGATTCTTATAGAAAAAAGAAATCATAAATAAAAGTGCCAAAATATGAGTATCAATACGACATTGAAGTGGAGTAAATGGTGATGTTGATGCTCCTGTGTTTCTCCAATGTATGCTGCTCTTTTTATTCTTAGTCTTCAATGTAATCGTGTAAATAAAACTACTGGAAATCAGCAATGGGCTCTCAGGGGCCTAAATAAGGTTTATGGTTCAATGGAGTAAGTTTATTTACTGTTCTTATCTAGAGGCTAAGGCTTCCTTTTAGTTGTCCCTATTAGCAGTGCATTGAAAGGAATAATTCACCCAAAAATTAAGTCTGTCATATTCCTCTATGTAGATCCAATCCCATAAAATAAAAATGATTCACAGAGCGTGATGCTACTCTTGCTTATACAGTACAATGAAAGCATTGGGGACGGATGCTATTGTATGGGCTTCAGAAGACTTGTAATATAGCACAGAAGCTGTATGAACTATACGGTTATGATTTTTTTTTCATGAAGCAGTTTTCTGATGTGACCTGTATTCAGGAACTTCTGACGAAAATGAACAACGCACAATAAAATAGTAAACCTGATTTCACATTTCACTGGGCAAAGACTGCAGGAGAGTTCCTTGTACAGAGTTCCTTGTTCCTTCCACTTAAAGTTCACTCAGAAAGTCTGTAGGCCTCATTCACTAAGCGTGCGTACAAGCAAATTTGTGCGTGAAATCTGCGTACAAACTTCACAAACAAATGATTCAAAAGTTCTCTGAATAACAATGCAGACATGTATGTACAGCTGGCTAATCAGAGGTCTGTAAACTGGGTCTATATGAAAGGTGTTCATTGAGTTTTGAGGACTGCGCACTTGGCATTGCTCAAGGATCTAGTGAGAGAGTGTCAGTAGAGAGCGGCGTATGTTTGACGAGTAATGAAAGGCTGTAAAGGAAAGGTAGTGCGAAAGGCCCTTATATGGAGATGGTTTGGGCATGTTTTATGCAAATGACTAACTTCGTGCTCACAGCAGCTCATTTTGAATACTCCAAATTCACTAACATTCGAGAGAGTTTAAAGGGGTCATATGATGCTGCTAAAAAGAACATTATTTTGTATGTATTTGGTGTAATGAAATATGTTTATGCGGTTTAAGGTTCAAAAAACACATTATTTTCCACATACTGTACATTATTATTTCTCCTCTATGCCCCGCCTTTCTGAAACGCGTTGATTTTTACAAAGCTCATCGGTCTGAAAAGCGAGGTGTGCTCTGACTGGCTAGCTATCCAGAGCATTGTGATTGGCCGAATACCTCAAGCGTGTGACGGAAATGTTACGTCCCTTACCATTTTGTGATGCCCTGTCCGGCCGGAGTGACGAGACATAAACATGAAAACCCATTATAAACGAGGCATTTGTTGCATCCAGTGGGGACATAATTACGGATTATAATGACTTATACTGTCTTTTTACGCGTTGCGTTGCATCGCGCCGCGTAAACATAAAACCATGTCTGCATTTGTGATCGGAGAAATGACAAACTACAAACGCTACTCTAAACTGCTCAAAACTCGCGTTTGAATCGTCAGTGGCAAATTCTTTAAATATAAAAAACATACTTACAGTCTGTGAGTCAGAACAGCCGGCATTGTAGTCTACTCTCCCAGGATCAGGAAACAGTCCTCCATAAAATGCGCTGCACACATCTGAATATTTGGGTTGAACTGTTCTGGAACAGTGTTGTAAATACAACTTAACCACTGATTTCTAGTCGTGTCCTCTTTTGAAAGGCCAAACAAAGTAGTTTCACTTTCACAACGAAACACACGGCGGGCTAGAGTGAGCGGAGGCC